TAGAACGGAAATAAGAGCCTCCACGATTTAATGGCACTTACCAGCAAACAACGGCTTTGCAAATAACAGCCAGATCCAAGAAGAGCTTCTCCATATCTTTCTCCAAAGCAAAAGTCAACGATCGCCCGTCGATTACCAGAGCCAAAGGTTCAGTGTCCCCAGAGACAATTTGGCTCTGCACGGCGTCCATTTTCTTTTGTAGGCTATCACGAGTGGCTTCTGACGTCTCCTCGTTGATGATGAGAAGCGTCATGTCTTCCGAGATGAGTTTACAGGACATGCCGATGTTGATTGCAGTCTCCTGTCGATCACCAGTCAAGACCCAAATCTTGATGCCTGCAGTCTGGAGAGTGTGGATAGTATCCGGAACACCATCCTGCAAGCGATCCTCAATAGCTGTGGCGCCAAGAAGATAGAAATCCTTTTCGATCAGCTCGGCCGCTTTGTCCAGTTCATCCGCACGATTGCCGTCAACAGTGGTAGAGGCTTTGTCATAGATCTGGTGCCATTGCTGGAACTCGCTTTCTGGGACTTCCCGCATAGCCAGACACAATGTCCGTAGACCATCCGAGGCATACTCCTCCAGGTGCTGAAGAGTTGGTTCCACGGTAGGGTTATCGGGATGCAACCGCTCAAGAATGACCGTGTCAGCACCCTTACAGTAGACGCGGACCTTCCCATCAGGACACCGGAAGATAGTGGACATTCTTTTTCTAGTAGAGTTGAACTCGCACACTGCTAGCAGTTCGTATTCAAGCTCCTGCCCTCCAGTCTCAAAGATCACCGATCTCGGTTTTCGGTTGGTGAATCGGAAACCCAGCGACGCGGCCCCATCCACCAAGGCTCCCTCGTCCGGCGATGCTGCTTGGTACTTGATCACATTTGGGTCATCGGCGTTTCGCTCCGGAATAACAGTGTGACAGGTGGCAAGGAGAGTGAGAAATTCGCGAATAGCGTTCTGGCTTGGGTGCGATTGAAGGTTCCCTCGGAGTGTTTTGAAGTCATGGATACCAAATTCGGCGCCATCCTCCACGGCGGCACGTCGATCTTCGGGGACGTCATCTCCATATTGAATACCCGCAATACTAACTTGTTTAAACTCCATCATGTTGCAGGTAAGGGTACCTGTTTTGTCGGAGAAGATGTACTCAATTTGACCAAGTTCTTCGACAAGAGAGGATGTGCGGCAGATGGCCGGGGTATCGGTTTTATCGTAGTAAATGTCGAGGTCGGAGTTGATGAGGAAGGCCTGGAAGTATTTGACGATTTCAATGGTGACGAAGAGGGAGATCGGAACCAAATTCGAATAGAGCACCCAGTACGTGAAAATGTCCATAAAGAACTGCTTTACCATTTTGACCGACCCATAGTTGAGGTACGCAAGTTGTGAAGACTTGGTTTTCCGAATAGCGAGATCACCGACAGAACTGATGACACTCAGAATGATGAGAATGCTGACAAGCATCAGAATCTGAATGTTGACTGTTCGTTCCACAGCTGTCCGCTTGATTGGCGTTGCTGTCGCATTTCGCATCAGTTTTGTCTCGTGGCCACTAAAAACCACAATGCCATGAATCCAGGGAGTGTTGCGCAGCGTTGCACCACGAAGTAGGAGTTGATCAGGAGCCAATGGTAATTCTTTCTCGCCGCCTCCAGCATTCATAGTCAAGGTGGCTTCGTAAGTATACAGACTGCTATTTGGCTGTTCTGATCGAACGCGTCCACTCAGACGACTCAAATCACTGGGACTGACCAGGTGTGCAGTCTCTGGAATGGCTTGCTTGATTTTGAGATTGGTCTCGCCGTCCAAGTTTGCCGTCTCAATGTAGCATAGACCTTCAGGCTCAGATGATGCCAGCAGTACCAAGTCGGCTGGAAAAGGCTGCTCGGACTCAACCCGAACTATGTCCCCGACCACAACATCCACCCATTTTGCATCGTGGAACGAAGATCCCTTGAGAACTTGTGTTTTGGAGTAATTCAGTCCTCTGTCCGACATTCTCCGTTTATAGTCCTCCACCAATTCCTTGATCGCCGACACAGCCAAGACGATAGCCAGCGGAACGATAGTTGTGAACTTATTCGTTGGTGACACATTTGGGATTTGTTGTAGAACTGCGGTAAACAAGAAGAACAGGTTGGCGTATTTAGAGAATTGCTCGAAGAGGAATTTGGGGATAAAGGTAAAGATATTGTACTTGGCCGTCGATACAAAGTTGTTGACGAACCTGTGGGTGGAATTGGCGGGTGGGTTGTTGAGCTGAATCAAGCGCGGGCCCAGTGTCGCGGGATCAACCTTGCGTGCAAAGATATTAAGGTCAGACGCGTGGAACTTCTTGCGTTGCTTCGGTGGCGGCGCCGGAGAAGCATCGCTACCGACTGTCGCCCTTCTTGCGCTTGACTCCGTCAACGGGAGATCCATTTCCGAATATTGCGATGACCCCATGCCAAACATATATTTCGCCCTGCCCATCAATCCACCCCCGAGTCCGAGGACGCTATTGCGCTCATTTGCCTTGCGGACGTGGTGTGAACTGGCAATTCGGTCTTCGTCCGCGTCGAGATCATAATAACCGGAATGCCCATCGTCGAAGTCATCTAAAGAGTACCGCCGATAATTGTCCAGTCCGGAGGTCTGGGAGTAGGTTCGATCTCGTGTACCGCTGGAGTAGGGATCATTTGAATGGAGACCGGGGTTGACAGGCGGATGCGCCGGTCCAGAAGCGGGCGGCATGTGCTGTGTTGCGCCCTGTTGTGCGCCAGAGCCAACAAAATTATCGTAGGAGACAGAAGGGCGCGGCTGTGTTTGGGCATACGGTTGTTCGGAGTCGTCAATGTTGTAGCGTTCTAATAGGTGTTGGTCGTTCACGGGAGGTCCTTGGCCGGTGCTATACATAGGTCCGGAATCCAGCAGCAGGTCGTCATCGCGGCCAGCGGCTGGATGCGACCCAGGAGGCCTACCGCTGGCCATGATGCCGCGGGGAAGCTGACAGCCTCAGTGTTGTAGCGCAGTAACAATGCCCCTGAGGCATTAATCGCTAGGCCACGTCGACAGAAAGGGCACTGCTATATCCGTCGAAAGCAGGAATGATGGGAAACGAGGTATGGCGAACAAGTGACAGATTTGAGGGGACTTGGACTGGAAAAATGTGGGAATAAGGTGAGAATGAAGTCCAAGGGTGGCTTAGCGGGTGAAGGCAGCAATTAAGCTATGTTGATTTGATACGCGGGTAGGCGGTAAAGCGCTTCACAACAATCAAAGAGATCGAATCTTTGGAATGGGATATATACTCTAATTATTATTTATAGAGTGATTGTATAGTTTTAAACCATCTTAATCTCTATACTATGATAAAAATGCACTTCTAATCATTGGCCGCCTCCAGTCTACAACGAATTGAGCTAAGAATAGGGGGCTCTTGGCAGCCGGAAATATATTAACCACTTGGTTTGGAGTATGGAGTACGGAGTACATATAAAATGTCCTAACATTGGTTCCACTTTAAAGATAGATATCTCTAAAGATACGTTGTACGTTGATTGGAGAAGAGGAAAAAGGAGGTTTTTTTTAACATTTACAATCTAGGAAGAGTGGTTTAGTTCATTCATCTACTAGCTCACACTCATATATCGCCCATCATGTGGCAGTCAAGTATCATTGATAAACGCCATGCGAAACTCCAGTCCCCCAATCAATCATGAAATTAAATGGTAGTACATGCTGTTTATTCGATTGGAACAGGCCGGTCATTCTCTGCCCGAGACTCATCGGCCATGCCAATCTTCGCCCGCTTGGCCAGGTCGGCCTGGAGGACTTTCTCAACAGCAGCATTGATCTCCTTAACCTTTTCCCATGCGACGTTTGTCTTGTTCACAATCACCATGGCATCTGCAGGTGCACCTGCGTACTTCGAGAGGTAGCAGACATCGCCTGCGCTATTAATGCCAATGACAATATCTCCCTCAGCAGCCTGTTCCTCCTTGAGGGTGGCGTCAACAATGACATCTTTGCTTTCATTAAAGGTGTGGAATGTGACCGAGAGAGGCTTGTGTGTGATGTTGAGTGCGACAGGCACACGCTGCTCCACGCCATAGACTATGACACGTCCGTCTCTCACCACAGCGTCCGGCCGGCGGAAGTGTTGCAGTCCAGCCATGATCGCAATGCAGGCCGCATCGGTGATGTTGCCGTCGTGATCAATAATGTGAACATCGGCTCGGATCGACCAGCAGCTGACACCCTTTAGGATACATAAAGATTCAGTGTCGAGAGCGTTGGAATGGCGGATGATGCGGTCAAGAGTGTTGGTGGCGTATGCCTCGATGTCGTTGGTTCTGTAGAGGTAATTGTCAGAACAAATTAGTATATAATGAGATTGCTAGGTGGTATATACCGTCCGTTTTCCCAAGCTGGCGAGCCCATTGCACTCAGCTCCAGGTTGATGTTGAAAAGACCATCAAAGGGACGATCTTCACGCGGCTTGGTGACCTCAGCGGAGATGCGAACAATGATGCTAGAGGAACCAATCAGTCAGTGATTGCCATTTGTGGTAGACGAACAAAAGATCTGGAGCTCACCTCGTTTTCCCAAGCTGCAGCTTGACATGACCATATTCTTCACCAAAGGAGATATTCAGAGGACGATAGTCGTCAGGCTGGCGACCATCGAGGCGCACATTCTCACGGAGTGCCTCGAGGATAAAGTCGCGCTCTGCGATTGAGAGTTGCGCTTCTTTCGACATCGTTGAGGGAGGTCTAACAGCCCCGGCGCGGGGATCAAAGATGCTTTCTTTTTTGGGCCATTTTGCCAGTGCAGGCCGCATTGTGACAGTGCGGATAATAGTTATTCCGAAAGTTGCGCCAATGGTAGTGGGATTTATGTAGGGCGGTGAGGAGAAGGTGAGGAGAATGTTTGTGCCTGAGGCGACCACATACATTGAAAGCTGGAAGCCATCAACGTCTCGACACTACCAACTTTAACTTAGCAACCACACCACAAAATGACTACAGGTATGCCACTAGCAACAAAACTTGGGGATTCGAATGGTCATAGCTAACATTTTCTTAGCCCACAGACCTACTTTTGACCCGGTACGACAACTTTTCTCTACGCAACTCTTCACGGACACTGACTGATTTCTACAGGCGCAAGGCAAAGAAGCCCTCCGTGGCCCGGCCTACCACCAGCGACTCCTCCCTGCGCATAAACACCTGAAAGTTCGGTATGTAGGATGATACTTGGTCAGGCCGCACCGATCACTGACCTTATTCTAGCCAACCCGGACAAGGCGGCGTAGCCGACGCGGACCCATCGCCCCGTGACCTTCGCGCAGAGCTTCTCCAGGCCGAGGCTGCACACTTTGCCAAGAAGAATGGCGTTCCAGTCGACCAGCAAGCTATTGCTGAATCTTCAGTCCCCAAACGACAACTCGAGGCTGCGCCCCCAAGGTGGAGGCGATGGCGACATCGAGGAAGAAGACCCAGAGGCCAAACGCCGGCGCATATTGGAGGAGACGCGCGACATAGATGCCGACTCAGACGCGTCAGAAGAAGACAGCAGTGATGAGGATAGGTGGGTCGGACCCTGGATCTCGTGCCTAGGACGAATAAACTGACAAATCGCAGTGACGACGAAGATGAAGCAGCCGAGTTAATGCGCGAGCTTGAGAAGATCAAAAAAGAGCGATTGGAGCAAAAGGAGAAAGAGGTATCTCGCTTACTTGCATCCTTGAATTCGATAATGGTGGCTAATGCATAATAGGAGCGCGAACGTGCAGCCGAGGAAGAAGAGCAGCGAGAGGTTGATATCGCGCGCGGTAATCCTCTGCTCAATTCCCAGGATTTCAGCATGAAACGGCGCTGGGATGATGACGTTGTATTCAAGAACCAGGCTCGCGGAACAGAGAACAGAGACGGCAAGGAGTTCGTCAACGTATGTTTACTTTCCATTGGCTTATTCTTAAGACGACAAACTAATTCATTTCCAGGATCTTCTTCGTTCCGATTTCCACAAGCGCTTCATGGTGTGTACCTGTATCTCCTATTAATTTCATACATTCACTAACCAGGATTTCAGGGCAAATATGTGCGTTAGAATTTCCTTGGAAACTTAAGTATCGGGATGTTAGTTCAAGAGGTATTTCAACTTAGCGAATGGGTATTATCTTACATTATTTTTAACGTTGTATCAAAAAGAGTATTATAAACTGTCAAGGATTTCCCATTTTATCATCAATGCTCCCTATAGGAAAATCCCCCCAACAGTAGTTTCCACATTGTATCTTATACGACAGCATTGGCTAGATTTCAACATAGTTGTATAGGCAGCACGGCGTCTATTTCCTAGTTCGCCACGACCATGGCTGGCCCTTTTTATCCCACTAAATGTCAAGAATCAGAGGCGGCTGAGGACAGAAGCCATGCCAGAGACTTACTTGAATGAGCCCACTCAAACTGGTTATACATACCCAGCATGGATGCCCTTCTTAAGAAAATCGGCACTGTTAATTGGATAGCACTAGAGGATCAAACATCCTTTACCCGGGTGCTTTCTATAGAGACTCATCAGCTAATTTCCATCTACCAGGGAAATTTTGGTACGAATAGTTGCATATGTATGTTCCAGAATGCTTCATATAACTAACTGCTCACTCTTATCTTCTAAATAGAAAACCCAAGCCTAGTTTCTTCTTATATCGACCCTAATAACCCGATCTGTGAGTTAAGCAACTCATTTCGGTGCGTCAACCCATGAGGGGAACACCATTGGAAGAACCTCCGGGGTTTGATCCGGCCAATTGGCCTGGATTACCTTCATAAGTTCATCGTAGACGATCCGGTTACCGGCGGGAGTCAGATGCAGACCTGTATAACGAGTGAGTACAAGAAAAAAGAAGTGAAATATGGACATTTCACGCACCATCAGTGAGAAAACTAGCCAGTGTGTCATTGCTCGGCACATCGCGAGCCCCAATCAGAGGTTCTCCCTCCTTCCAGCCAGTGGGCTTCATAAAGGCGGACCACAAATCCACTACCGGGATATTGAGCGATGCACCGACTTCGCACGCAGCCACTGCATATGACTTGGTGAAACTGGCTGTTCTGCTTGGAAATGGAGTGTCCTTTGCAGCATCGAAGGCTTCCAGTTGATATTCATTGACAGGGGGTGGGCTGACCAGAATGAGTCGTGGGTTCTGTGCGCGTGTCGCTGGATGCTGAATGATTGTCTTCAGGTTCTCTTTATATTGATCCAGGGGCACATGCTGGCTATGGGTTGGAACGCATGCATCATTGGCACCGAAGAAGATAGTCTATCCGATGTTAGTCAGTTGGTCCTTGAAATATATCCAAGACTTCAAATAGGCCTGCCGTTAAGGTCGACTTACCATGAACCGCACATTAGCCGTCTGTGGCGAAGGGAAGAACTTGTCGAAGACCTTGACAGCATGTGAGGTTGAATACCCACTGTTGCTTATTAGCATATCGCAGTCTAGTATAGCCATGGTTGATCTTACGCCAGGCCGCGGTTGATAACATCCAACCTGCGACTGTAGGCTAGTTGTTTTTCTCATTAACTTATTGATCATGCAAATCTCTGGGGTTATCAGAAGAATGGCTCACATTCTTGGAGTGCAGCATGAAATGCGAAACCTAGCTCTTGGTTGCAGCCCATCTGTGTGATGGAGTCTCCGAAGAGAAGAAACTGGTCATAGGGCTTGAATGGATCCTCATTTCCCTGAGTCTCGATGGTCGCCATGGTGAGGTAGGAATATAATTATAAGATTAAGTTACTTGGAGATTTGATTTGAAATTGAAGTTATGGGGATTGGGGGACTTATAAAACAGTAAGCAACGTGAACAGAAAAGGAAGTGGGGGAAGTCACTCCGCGGACGAAAGGGAAATTGGTGGAGCTTCGCTTGTCAACAACATATCTAGTTAAGTATGAAATGAATATATTAACTAAGATGGAGTATAATATTGCTTGTCTAAATCTATCAAATCTCAAAGAAAATTATCCACTAATCAGTTCATTGAATTGGAAGATTGAACCCCGCACTATACTACAGCCAGGAATGAACACCCTAGATCTTGTGTAGTTATAGTTAGATAGTACTAGGTAGAGCTCTCACTCTGAAAAGCTCCAAAACGCTCAGCCCTACAACATTCTTGTAAGTAAAGAAATTTGCAACATTCAAGCTTTTTAACCTAAACAAAGGCTCAGTGATTTTACACACTTCATTCTCTCATAGTTGCGAGATATTTATATATCAAGAATGTCAGACATCCGAAAGAGGCTAGCACTGTTTACCCTACCATGACAGCCTTGTTCAAGTCACACACCTGGTCCCTCACACGGTGGCGTAGACATCATAAACTATGCCAAGAGATCATCATCGCATGGTGATCGGATTGGACAGTGTGTGACACAAGGATCTCTCCGGGGTGATGCACGCCCAAAATGGAAATCCCAAGAATGTTAAACATTCTAATCTAGCTCCGTAAACCAAGGAGATGCTTCTAGGGCTATAACACAGACGCTCTTCGGTGCCTTCGGTGTCACGAGTACAGGGTACAGCATACACAGGTATACTTATGTCCTGCTCCACGATATAGATAGAAGAGTATGCCCCTTATACTATCAAGGATGGGAATTTTGACCCGAGCGTAGGATGATCAGGATGAACAAGGTTTCTACGATAAAGTGGCTGCATCATGTCGAATTGCCACTGTACAACATACATTCCACACAACGTTGAATCATTGTAGCGATACCCCGGGACGCTTTGTTTCGGGGGGTGTTGATCGTCGGAAAAACGCGGGGATGATCAGAAGGGAATGCCACATTGGAGATTGACCATCGAATCATCAGCATGAAATGCTGGGCATTGAACATTCAAGTTAGAGAGGTAATATATTAAACATATCAAAGATAGACAAAATGACTGTAGTGGCTGATGGGTCAGCATTGGACTTTCACCTGACGCGTCCCCGCTGTAAAGTCGATCATCTGTGATGGTCACCTCATCTTAAGACTCGGACCCTCTTTGCTCACCGTCTCTGTTTCTTTGTTTTATTCTTTTCTTTGGGGTTTTTTTTCCTTTTCATCTTTCCGAATAACATAGATAGCCCTGGGAAGAGAGATATGTTAACCAGTAAGTCAAGTTCCTTGATCTCCTATGTTTACGTCTGATGTGGATCACCTTGTCTATCTCCAAATGCTGCCAAAACTGACCCTTGCCAAGCCCCACTGCATATAATTGAAGTATAAAGGCTTCTCGGCGACATGCCTCGGTCCCTTCCAAAGCCCACGCCTGCCTTGCGCGAGCAAGAAGACACCGGAAACACACGCAGTGCCCAAACCGCTCCCCCTTCACCAAATGCCTACAGACGATCTCAAAGCTACCTCACCGAAACGCATACCGAATACCAGTCTCTCGATCCACCCTTAGAGGTTACAGAAACAACCAGCCTCCTCGGTCCCAGTCAAGACATCCGGCGACGAGCTCCGCGACGATCTTACACCAGCACTTCCGGGGTGTCGGGTACCGCCCCCGAATCATTGAGACACCTTCTGGCGGCGGGCAGCCTGCGCCGAACGCGAAACCATAGCCGTGCTAACTCTACGGGAAGACGATTCAGTCGGCGGGGGAGTATAGACGGCAATAGCAGACCTGCTAGCCTTCCTCCGTCCGCGAAAGATAATCTTACCGCCTCTTCATTTTTGGATGAACGGACATGGTATGATCAATTTACTTCTACCGATTGGGTGCATGACAGCATAGCCGATGGAGCACGACTTCGCCTACTCCGCCAGCGAAAGGATGTGCGAGGCCGATTGCTGGCGGCCTTCGACGGCGCGCAAGGATGGATCTTGGTCGCGCTTATTGGGTGCATCACAGCCTCCATAGCTTACTTCGTCGATGTCACTGAGGGATCGGTCTTTGACCTGAAAGAAGGATTTTGCACGACTCAGGTTTTCCGCAATCGACGGACCTGTTGTGAAGGGGTGGCTGGTTGTGATGCATGGCGGCCCTGGTCCAGAATATTCTCCCCGTCGGATACAGAAAGCCAGTGGGTTGACTTCGTCATGTTTGTCTTTTGGGTAGTGACGTTGGCCCTCATATCGTGTGCATTGACTCTGCTCACAAAGACTGTCGTTCCTTCGTCCATTTCCCTTGCCACGCTTGATGAAAACCTGGGCGCCGACTCCCGTGGTACAAAATCTGGAAATGGGGTCGGTGCCTCGGGTTCTCCTCTTTCGGAGACAGAGACGAGTCCAGTGCATGGAACTTTGCCTAATCTTCCGTCTCGTCCAGCTATGATCTACTACTCTGCTGCTGGCAGTGGAGTGGCAGAAGTTAAAGTCATTAATAGTGGTTTTGTTCTCCACGGATACATGGGACTGAAGACACTGGTTATTAAGACTATTGGTTTGATCTTTAGTGTTTCGTCCGGTTTGAGCCTGGGCAAAGAAGGCCCCTACGTCCATATCGCCACCTGTGTAGGCAATATCTGCTGTCGTCTGTTCGCCAAGTATAACCAAAATGACGGAAAGCGACGAGAGGTTTTGAGTGCCAGTGCCGCTAGTGGTGTTGCTGTTGCCTTTGGTGCTCCGATTGGCGGTGTCCTCTTCAGCTTGGAAGAAGTCAGCTATTATTTCCCACCCAAGACCCTTTTCCGGACGTTCTTTTGTTGTATTGCAGCCACATTGTCCCTCAAGTTCCTAAACCCCTATGGAACAGGTAAGATCGTCCTATTTGAAGTCCGATACCTTTCCGACTGGCAGATCTTCGAGATTTTCATTTTCATCCTTCTCGGTATTATGGGAGGCGCCGCTGGTGCGCTCTTCATCAAAGCCTCGAGCCTCTGGGCACGATCATTCCGTCGCATTCCAGCCATCAAGCGATGGCCAATGCTTGAAGTTTTCCTTGTTGCGCTGGTTACGGGCATTATCAGCTTCTGGAATCGGTACACGAAACTTCCTGTTACCGAACTTCTATTTGAGCTAGCTTCTCCTTGTGAATCAGACGTGGAAAGTACGGGCCTGTGTCCTCGCACAGACGGTATTCTTGAAATAGTCCAGTACCTGCTGATGGCGTTTGTGATCAAGAGTTTCCTGACCATTATTACGTTCGGTATCAAAGTTCCTGCGGGTATATATGTGCCATCCATGGTTGTTGGCGGCTTGATGGGGCGGATTGTTGGACATTTGATCCAGTACTGGGCTCTCAGACATCCCACCTTTTTCTTATTCGACTCTTGCCCTGCCGTTGCTGGGATTGAGTCATGCGTGACTCCAGGAGTATACGCATTGATTGCCGCTGGAGCGACCATGTGTGGCGTGACACGACTGTCAGTCACTTTACCTGTGATCTTGTTCGAATTGACAGGAAGTCTCAACCATGTGCTTCCGTTTTCCCTGTCGGTGCTCTGCGCCAAGTGGACTGCGGATGCCATTGAACCTCGCAGTATATATGTAAGTCTTGCCCTCGGCTTGGCGATCCGACACGACATTATACTAATTGAAATCAGGACCTCTTGACCGACATGAACTCCTACCCCTTCCTTGATAGCAAACTTCAACCTACCACTGATGCCGAGCTGGGAGACATAGTTCGACCAGTGCGGAAGAATCGTATCATCGATATCTCTGCGTCGCCGCTCGTACCAGCCACGGATCTCCGCTTGAAACTGGAACACCTGCTCATGGCAGGCGAGCTGGATAGCGGACTTCCCATTCTACGGGACGGTGTTTTAGCCGGTCTGATCCCAGCACCAGATCTCGAGTACGCACTGGATACCCTGCGCGATGATGAAGAGAATGCGGTATGTCTGATGACTCTGGATACTTCCAGAGCCGTCTATGACGGTGATAACGAGGACGAGGATGCTATCCAGGTGGATTTCAATCGATTTATTGACCCTGTAAGCTTGGTTACATTTCTCAGTATCTTGGCCCATGCTAATTTGTTTATTCATAGGCCCCGATTGCTCTTGATATCCATTCCCCTATCGATTTGGTCTACCAATGCTTCGCCAAGCTCGGTCTTCGTTACCTCTGCGTTACTCAAGACGGGAAATATGCCGGCCTGGTTCACAAGAAAGCCTTCGTGAAATTCATGAAGGAGAACAGCGACTAAGCTGTGAATATTGGTTGACCATTTCACTCTTTTCCATTTGCATTTTTTTCCGGCGTTGCCGAGGTATTCTGATTCAATTGTTTGCATAGCCTTGCATATCCTCTCATTTCATGTCTGTTTATTCTCTCGGCTCACTCAACCAACATTGGCACTGTGTATAGTTTTATTGAACATATTTTTGTTCTGTTTTGGTTTGATCTGGGCAGATGCACGCGAAGTGCGAATGTTTGAACATATTTGACCAGTGAATTATCAATAGAGAGTCCATATCCTACCCATGTCTAAGTCAATTTTTCAAATCCAACCATCTGAACCTCAACATCCCCATCCCCCTTCCACTCCTCGTCAACCTCCTCGCCAACCCACTCGGTAACCTCCCCAGGGCTAACAGCCCGCCACCCGTTCTTCTCATGCAGCCCATCCAACGGGAAGAACGTATCACACTCAAACGAAGCAGGCGCATCCACAGCCCCCTTCCGCACAACATTCGTCATAACAACCCTAACAGGCCGACCACGCAGCTCCTCAGCACCCATATTCAACGTAGCATTATAAATCTCCGCACCACCAATGACAAAAATCTTGCCAAGCGTCCCCTGCGCCCCATACACAGAATCCAGCTGTTCCAACGCCGCACCCAGACTCGGCGTGACAATCGCATCCGTCATCGGGTCGACCGGCGGAGCCGGAACAGCTTCCTTGGACGGGTCTAAAGCCTCCTTCTCCGCACTCGTAGCCTGTGCCTTCGCAGCCTTCGTCGCAATCTTTCTTTTCATATTCCCTAATTCCGTAGCGACGCTCTCGCGAACAGAACCGGACGTGTCACGCGTGATCACAACGTTGATTCGCTTCGCGAGCGGGCGCAGCGAAGCGGGCACGGAGTCGTACGTCTTGCGGCCCATGATGATTGCGTTTGTCGTGCCTTGGCTCGGTGGCCGGGATGTCACGCGAGCGAAGAATGACATATCTGTCTTTATGCGGGGCCATGGGAGCGTGCCGTTTAGGCCTATGCCTAGGCGCGTGATTTCGTCTTTTGTGGTTGTCGACGCGGTGCGGATTGGGGTCGTTGCCACGATTAGAGTGAGGGAGGGGAGGGGGTGAGGATTGTGAGGTGGCATTTTGGTTTGTGAGGTGATTGCGGGTTGCAATTCGAGGTAATTCAGACACAAGTACAGGGGGTGATGCTTGCCAAGGGTTGTGAGGGAGGATGTTCGCGTCGCGGGGAGCACAATCCCGATAACGATTTCTGCTTATCGCCCCGCACTATACAGCTGCAGGTGGACTTGACGTGTGTCACTTTTCTTCAAGAGGGTATTCATGTTATGATTGATTCAATGCTACTAAGGAGAATGTTACGCTATTACTTTAGGCTAACTGAGTGAGCGAAGTAGCAAATTAATCGTAAACAATGGGTTTGAATTCATTATCATAGGAAAACTGAATGCGCCTTAACACCGATCGAACGCCAGACTTAAGGAAACAAGTGGGTATCATGCGCGAAACAGTTTCAACAGCCAACGAACAAGATGCCTCCAAGGGTACCGTTACTTCTCGGATTGCTCGGGCTTGTCAGACTGCTCGGGACCCTTCCCCTTCTCAGTGTCCTCTGACTTGTGAGAGGTCCCGGGCTCATCGAGCGATGGCATCAGAAGTCCTCCGTCGAGGGCCTTCTGGATGGCCTCTACATCCTCCTCCAGCTTTTCGCGACGCTTGACGTCGCGTTCGTCTTCGCCGAGGGTATCGAGCTTGCCGAAGAGCCAAAGCTCTTTCATAAGGCGGTGCAGGGCAAGCAGGTCCTCTGCAGCACGGATCTAAGGAAGCGAAATGTCAGTCTCGTGCTTTGGTGTGGATTTGGAAGCTCAATTGCATTCTTGCTGGGAAGGGTAGAGGTACCCGGGGGGGGATCAGGGCGCATTTCAACATACCAAGGCAGTGGATTCGACGTCAATTTGAAAAGCTTCCACAGCAGCATCGACGTGACTGGTGCCGTCGAACTTGTTGGCAGCAATGGCGACGATGTTCTCGAATCGCTGTAGCAGCTGCGAGATATCATAGTCGACGCGATCTACCGCGAGACATCGTTAGTTAAAGGGAATGGAGGAAGAGTGAAGCTGAATTGGCTCAAGTTTAGCACGTACCAAGCAGTTCCTTGGCAGTTGGACGAGCATCCATGGTTGGAGGGTCCTTCTTATTGTCTTCGGACGATGGTGAGGATAAATCGGAGGGAGGGTAATCCGAATCAGGATCCATGTTGATTGCCGATAAGAATAATTGTGGGGCGGGAAAACTCGGGTAGATGCGGAAGAGAAGCCGAAAGTACCCGAAGGGAACAACATTACCTACCTAGGTAACTAGGTAGGTAACTAGTTAGGTAGGTAGGTAGTTACCCACACCGAACTCCAGGTCTGTCACATGGCGACTGGATCTTCCTAATTCCCTGGAAAAGTTCTAACAAACCATCATATTTCTGTCTTGCTTTTCCGTGTCTCCAATTCCTTGTCTTCCAAGTTCAAGACCCGTGGAGATATGCGATCCTATTACTCCCATTGTCCGTACTTCTCAATCTCGACGAATATGTCAGCTAACTGCTAAATGACTCTCTCTTTCTGCTAGGTAGTGTCTACCCCCTGAGTCCTGACCCAAAGACCTTCTGTCCAGCTTTTTCTTGTAAGAATATAGTCAATTTCAAGTATAATTGCTTAATTATATTCACGTTCCCAATCGAGAATATTAGGCATGTGCAAGTGTGTAGCTAGAGCTTAAGTCATAGTGACAGCTTCGCTTCGAAGTATCCAAGATAAATCTACGTTATGCATTTTCTAGGGGAACATACCTTAGATCGACCTAATCAAAGGTATAGCTCATCTATGTTGTATACGACAAGCATCTATAGCCGCATATTATTAAGTAGAGTGGGATCCCCAAATTTTCCTAATAGGGATAAGTCTCGCTACTATAGCTAGTCTGAGCAGGTATATCACAAAGCCCCAGTTTGGTTTTGAGCATTTGTGCCATGGTTATTGCTGGTTACTTAACTATATGAGACTATCTGACAGATTAATAGGCTTTTTAGTAGGCATTAGCCTTCTTCCATGTCACCTGCAGACTGATAAAACATCCACGGATGGACTGTCTTTATAGTCCTCGATTTCATTTATCTCTCCTCCTTGCAAAAGACTTTCTTTCACTATCATCCCAAAACTCTTCAGTAGATTATCTGATTATCATACACTTTTCATAATACCTTGTTGGCCCTGCGAATGGTATAATCGTAGATAACCAGCCGTGCAGAAGGCATGAGGTTGTTTGCTGTGCAATTCACACCTGTGCCACATGCATAGCCAACAGCTACTGAATATGGTTGCCAAGGATACCAAGGCAAAGATACGTGCCATTCCATTCCATTAAGATTCATACCCTATTACCTCCCATATCCCGACTAAACGTCACTCTTTTTCTATGTGACAGAGCCTGCAGAGCCTTAGGCTCATCTATGAGTCAACAATCAATAATATCATTATGTATTCAAATCGGATGGAGACCATATAATCGTGGCACCGCCTTTCACCAACACCAGGTAGCACAATTAGAAATACAGGTATAGACTGTTATAACTTATGGAGTAGTGGAGTCAGTGGAAGCAAGGTCTAGCCCTATGTCAATTGGGCCTATGATCGTCCTCTCTCCGCCTTATACTCTCCGCCTTTACTCTCCGCCTTTTACTCTCCGCTGTGCGTCACCGCCTAACACAGTGACAATGGCTTCGGTCCAAACTACGCGGCTCAATCACAATAATAACAATCTTTTCATCCCTCTGCTAGGTTTGCTACCTAAAGACCTTTTCCTTCGCGTCATTACCATCCTTCCAAGGCCGCCATAACGGCAATATTGTGTTACTCTGCCCTCCATTTCGCTCGACTTAGCTTGCACTTCGACTGCCAAATCATCCGTAACGCAAGTTGGGCGTGGCGCACCACATACTCTTAAGTGACTGAAAACTTCGTCGTGTCTTTCTGTGAATTTGGAGTTGTCTGCAAATCACCTAAAATCCAACAAGAAGCCCTCATTACAATACCGACCATCTTGGAACGCCGGGGATTTCCTTCATCTGTCCCAATACCACCGTCTATTGTCTCTTAACTTACTGCTGGATGTTCAGATAGGGTCTCCGGATACTTGACCTTCGAAGATAGGGTGGACGGCCGGTGGGCCGTCTCACAGATCGAAGGCGGAAGGGGATATTGGAGAAAAGGTGTCGAATTCAAGTGCCGCCTTTCGTGCCCCTGTTCCTAGGGTGGACTATTCCAACTACCCCGCGTCAATTTGTTTACTTTCTTTTTTTCCCCCTTTGAATTCAAATCACTAGACCGGAAATGGATGCGCAGTATCCCTTTGCTTCCCGTGACGATATTTGGCGTGTCTTTGACGAGTTGAAGGAGCTCCACATTGCCCAGTACGAACAAGGAGAACGGCTCGCGCAACTGGAGCGTCGCCGAGAGGACGATGCGCGGCTGAGGAGTCCTTGGTGTTCTGTCTCGCCATTTCCGCATTCCGTTGGGGCAATCGCTCCAGGTAGTCCACCTCTGCCGTCCAGCATCAGTTCGCCAGTTACCAAGACATCCCTTCCAGAGCCCACTTTCCACTCCCCCCCGGATGCTTTCAAAGGATTCGACCAAGGTCACCATTCCGCAATGACTAGTTCTGCGGTGGGGTTTGAAGGCGAGGAGGAGCCTAGACGGGGTGCGTCGCGCGCCAACAGCGTCCGTTTTGATGAAAGTGCTATCCACGGAAACGCCCAGGCTAGCCGTTCCAGCAACGACCTTCCTCTGCGGACCGGCAGCGGTTTGAGTACCCACCCGCCTCTTGAGCGCACCTTTTCTCACCAATCCGATGGACGATTGAGCTCATCTGGTCACTCACTCCATTCCGCTCGGACTAATAGCCTGCGCCTGAGCACCACTCGGCTGCATGGTACTATACCTATCGAATCCCCTTTGATTCCCCCTCCTGGACTCTTCTTGCTGGGACCGGTCCCGTCCATTATTCGGTGCTGGTTGACTGATAATTTCACTAATGGCTCTCTCCTCTACGCAGCCGTTTGCTCCGGCTCTTACGTCTCAACTCTGGGTCTCTCCATGATCCGCAATCTTGGGATGGAGAACATGATCGTGCGCGATTGTGATATACAGTACATCAAGCTCCCCCTCTATCTCCCTGAAGCACTGATTCATCCATCTTCATCGCGCCCCGGAACCCCTACTCACCAAGTCCCTGCCGTGACCATCCGCTTTGTGGTTCGCGAGACAGAAGGCAGCGATGATTCAATTCAAATCATCATTGGAAGTGATGTGATGCGTGCACACAATGCTGATATTTTGTTCTCGCAAGATAAACTGATCATGGTGGACGACGACCACAACCGTATATCTGTCCCCCTTGTGCGCCCTGAGAAGGACTCCGTCTTCAAATCTCTTTGTACTTCTCCTGGTGCTCCCAATTCTAGAGACATACTAGGACCTCCTACTCACGCCAATCCATCCGTTGGTATCATTGGCCGGCCTGCCAATATTCAGCAAAAGCCGGCCTCTGCGCCCCCATCGACTCGTCTGCCTGGTAGCGAGAACAGTGAACATCACAAGTCAAATCTACAGAACCTCCAGGCTCATGCTCACATTTCAGCTGAAACCCGTCCAGCCGCTGCCAACCTAGCGACTTCTGAGCCTACTAAAACTGAGGATATGCCTTCTTGGGGCGGCCCATGGCGCCGTGATGCTAAGAAATCCACCAGCACTACCAAAAGACCGGCCGATAAACGCGAGATGAAAGTCTTCCGCACCGGAAAATCTGCGAGTCAAGCGAACCCCACAACTTCGGCCTCGGCTCCTGGCAGTGCTACCACTGAACAGGGCGACAAGTCGTCTCTGCCGCTTACGTCTGGCCAGCATGGTACGCTGAACCCCGTGGGTGGTGCATCGGCATTTGGATGGCTTAACCCTCCCCACCACAATACCTCGTCCTAGATGAAACAGACTAGGGCTTGGGTTTTATGTTTGGTTACATCCGGATCTGAAATGATCTCGGTTTACGGCATGATGTGGAAGGGTTGTGATTTCTCTCG